TCTGTTTCTGATATAATGCTATCTTTTGCTGCTTTTCCTATCGAGATTCCTGGAGAGGTAAAACCTATTGTTGTTAACACTCTTACCTGCTATATCAGCTAATTTGTGTTGAGCAGCTCGGTAATATTTTCAGGTAGTTTTCCTCCATCCTGTCCATAATTTTGCTCTAGTCGCATATGATCCTTCTGCTCTTGGAGCTGCTGCTGCTTCGGCTGTTCGTGCTGCTGAACTTCTTCCTGGTGAGTGCAAACTTCCTCTCTTGATCCTTTATGCATTGCCTTTCTTATACTTCACCAAAAAGATGCCTTTTTTTTTTTATTGTTGTTTCTGATTGATTGGACAAAGTGATTTGTCTCTATTCCAGTTGCTTTTCGTGCATTATAGATACACTCCTTGGTCAAGAAGGTGACTGCAGTCGAAAATTAGAAAAGCTCCTCCTTGTTAGATGGTGTTTTATACATCCAGCTCTGATCATAATGTGCTTTAGGTTTTTCAGAACATAATCCAGCTTTGGCACCATCTGTTTTCTCTTCTCTTTTTACTATATTATCGTTTAATATTATTGTATGGTTGGTGGTCTTGTAACCTAGTTGAGTTTTGATAACAGTGGTGTCTCCCGCTCCTTATTGATATACTCTTGCCAAAATGGATCTGGGAATTGTTTTTAAGCTTAATGTACTGTGCCAATGATGTATATTAAAAATAAGACCCTTCTTAGAATGTAATGACGATCTTATGATGAGTGGGGATACCTTTGAATGATTATTGAAGTTGAACCCATGCAGGTCCTATATAACTTGATGTACTTATATATCTTCTTGAAAATGTTGTCTTATACCACAACTATGCCTCAGTTCCAACCAAGTTGGGATCGGATATATGAATCCTCACTGACCATGTTCCCCATTTAAATTCATCTCAAGTCAACATTTTACAAAATAAAAAAGTATGATAAGTACTAGAAGTTATCTATATTTTCTACTGGCATAAGAATCTCTAATAAGGCTACAGACTCCTAGAAAACATAGGAAAGATGCTATCTTATCCGTAGTATTATCTGCTATTGTTTTTAAAACTATTTTGTTGCCAACAGATCCCGCTCTTCGTCGTGGAGATTCAGTATATCTTGTGGGATTGAGCAGAAGTTTGCAGGCAACTTCCAGGAAATCAATTGTGACCAACCCTTCTGCTGCTGTGAATATTGGATCTGCTGATTGTCCACGATACAGAGCGACAAACATGGAAGTGATTGAGCTTGACACGGGTAACACTGTCCCACTTGTCTTCCTGATTCTGTAATCCTATAGTAGCTTGGCATTTTGTTTTAGGCATTTCTTTGATGCTATCATGATTCTCATTTTCAGATTTTGGAAGTACGTTTTCTGGTGTGCTGACTGATGAGCGCGGCAGGGTTCAAGCTTTATGGGGAAGCTTTTCAACACAGGTTTGTACTCCCAACTGACACTTTCTCTTGTTAATTTGATGAAATTAGTTCCATAGCTTCTTTTTTGATAAAATAACTGGTTTTACTTTTTCCATTTTCTCAGCTCAAATATGGTTGTAGTTCATCAGAAGATCACCAATTTGTCCGGGGTATTCCAATCTATACCCTAAGCCAAGTCCTTGGCAAGATTATTTCCAGTGCCAACGGACCTCCTCGTCTTATAAATGGTTTGCAAAGGCCTATGCCACGATTAAGGATATTAGAAGTTGAACTTTACCCAACTTTGCTCTCCAAAGCTCGGAGTTTTGGACTCAATGATACTTGGATCCAGGTAAGCTGCTACTTCTGAAGATATCTGTTTGGCTTGCTTTTCCTTTTAGCCATATCTTACGTTGAGTGATTTCTATCTTTTTAAAGTTTTTGATTTAAAAAGACCTACTTAGCCAATGCACCTGTAGAAACTAGATGTATTTCTTTGAAATATATTTTTTTAAAAGCTTTTTCTAACAACTTAGGCTACCCTCATGGAGAACTAGGCGAGGATTATTTGATGGTGACCAGGTGTCTTCATATTCTAGATTTGTATGTATATATAGGCGTGGCCAATGTTTGTGATTCTCAACGGTTTGAGTCGTGGAAGCAGCCACTAATGCTTGCATTAGGGTAGACTTTCTATATCACACCCCTTGGTGTGCGGCCCTTCCCTGGACCCTGTGTGAACGCGAGATGCCTTGTGCATCGGGCTGCCCTTTTTATGCTAGTTAAATGTGAAAAAACATGTGCACTCAAATGGTAAGATCCAAATCTTATGTTTTTGAAAATACAATTTATTAATTTTATCATGTAGCTTTTTTATAATTTACTTATTGTGATAAAAATTAAGTTTAAAATACATTGATATGTTGAAATTGCTGTCATACATATAAGGTACTATTATGTTTAACTGTGCACTTCCTACCCTGACTTTAGTCTTCTGAAGTTTACAGGTATAAAAGTGATATTGAACCCACTCAGTTCCGTATTGTATCTATCACACTCTAGTGCACCTTCTATGTTTGGAATTTGGTTGGATGGGAGATCCGTGGATCTGCAATCATTGATCATAAGCATCTCTGATTGCTTGAATTATTTGCCCTAGTTTCTGTTATTAAAAAATATAAACGGTTTATGTTCCTGTGTTTGCCTCTCTTTGTCTGCTTCAGCCCCGTTTAACCTTTTTTTTTTGGATGATATATATTTATAATCGAGGCTAGGTTTTATGCATAATGAGCATAAAACATATCAGATAATCATCAGAAGATGTTTGAAATGGGTGCACCATATGTGTGTGATGTGAGCATTTTCTTAACATCTGGCATATCTTCTAGGCCCTCGTAAAGAAGGACCCTATGAGACGCCAAGTTTTGCGAGTTAAAGGTTGCTTTGCTGGTTCAAAAGCTGAAAATTTATTGGAACAAGGGGACATGGTCTTAGCAATTAATAAAGAGCCAGTTACATGCTTTCGTGACATCGAAGATGCATGTCAATCATTAGACAGGTCTGATGACAGCGAAGGAAGGCTTAACTTGACAATTTTTCGTCAGGTGAGCCTCTGGAGCATTTCTTTTACATTTTCTTCCTCGAACTTTTCCATGTATTTGACCAAAAGGACTTCACTACTGTTAACCTTCCTTGCTGTCCTGCTTGGCTGAGTTCTTCATTCTCTTAGATTCTTTTAAGTTATTTGATGAATTCTCAGGGCCATGAAATTGAACTACTTGTGGGAACAGATGTGAGGGATGGAAATGGAACAACTCGTGCAATAAATTGGTGTGGTTCTATTGTCCAAGATCCTCATCCAGCTGTACGTGCACTTGGATTTCTTCCCGAGGAAGGACACGGAGTATATGTAGCAAGGTGAGTAGTTGTTAGGCTGAAAGGCTCATTTAGATGTTTAGAAAGTTGAAAGCATGTTTCTTGAGAAAATTGCAGCAAAATAATTGAAAAATGAAATAATTTTCTTTTACGCATTTGTGTTAAAATGAAGAGCAAAGTCCAAATAAGACAATTTTTTTTTTCAAGTTTCCTACACCTATTGGTAGACCTAAGTCTGAAAGAAACAAGAAATATTCTTGTGTTAACCAATTTCGTCATAACTTATCAACTGAAAAAATAGAGTTTATTATAATTATTCCCTGTTATTATTAAAAAGAGTATAAGGACGAGATAGAGAGAATAATTGTTGCTAGTTAGTAAAATTGTTAGATGTGCTGAAAAACTATTTGTTGGGCAAGAGAAATCACTGATCAGCATGTAGCAAGGATGTTTTTGTTTCAGACGAAGGGCTCGTTGAGCCTTTCTAAATTTCATGATGCATGCATTTGGTAATGCATCTAATGTAAAAGAAAGAGAGGGCAGTTGGGCATCTTTTGTTGAGTTAGCTATTACTAGCTATTTGTCCACTATTATTAAATGCCTAAAGTAACTCTCAGGTGGTGTCATGGAAGTCCAGTACATCGATATGGTCTTTATGCACTTCAATGGATAGTTGAAGTCAATGGAAAACCAACTCCCACTTTAGATGCCTTTGTTGACGTGGCGAAGGTATGCCTTGTTATTCTTAGATGATTTGTAAACATTGTATGTTGATGGAAAGCTATGAATATCAGCCTAAAATAATCCTTACTGATCTTATAGTTTTTGGTGGAGATCTTGTTACTATCCTGGTTCTTATGCCTAACTATTTAACTTTTCACAGACAATAGAGCACGGAGAGTTTGTCCGTGTACGAACAGTCCACCTGAATGGGAAGCCTCGAGTACTTACATTGAAGCAAGATTTACATTACTGGCCAACATGGGAGCTGAGGTTTGATCCAGGAACTGCTATGTGGCGACGCAAAACAATCAAAGCTTTGGACTCTGGTGTTTTGTGAACTTACTCGGCTGAATAGGCTTTCCCGTGGGGAGTGCAAAATTGTGGAACGTGTAGAAAGTTCACCGGATGCGTTGATAGTTACTCTAACTTATTGGAGTTGAAAGTTGCCATACATCAGTATATGCAAAATCATATAAAGGAGGTATCTGGCTTTATGTCCTATTTGTTGTAAATGACCATAATTCGGATAAAATTATTAAGTGGTAGAATTTTAGACAAGTTATAAGTGCTAGCGCTATACATATCTGTGAATCAGAGGATGTAAACCATGAACTAGGAGGGGACTTTTTGCCACCAGATTCCTGGTGATAATCCCCCTTTTTCCCCTTTAGGCTAAATCCATTTTTTTCATTTGAAATCATTGTGTCAATTTAGCTGACAGTGTTAGATCCCATTGATGCCATTGCTATAATATTTGTTATATTCCTTCTTCTGACATCTCCAGAATTTTGGCTGGTTATAACTAACCGCACTAACTCGTTGTAATAAACCATTGAACTTGTTTAGAGGTGGAAAAAAGTTGTATGGGAAGAAAACAGTTGGAAGAAATGTGATGTTCTTTCTTTCAATTTACTCCTCTCAATAATAGACAATTATTGAAATTGAGAATCAGAGTACTTATCACTTGTACTGTTGCCTCTGAGAAGATAGGTAAAAGATAGTGTCTGGAAAAAAGTCATTTGTACTACATTGCACTACAGATAAACATCCTTATAACGAAAGCCAAATGCTTAAAGAAAATTAGTGTGCTGATACAAAATCGTACCTTCATTTGGTGCATTACTGAAACCAACCAAGGAAAAGTGTAACTAGTATCAATAACTTGCTGTTCATCCTTTTGATTGTCCCATAATGACTGGCAGCCGATGAGTAATCGGATGGTGGTGGTGGATTCTTGTAGTAGAATGGCAAGTAAGGCAAAATTGGATTAGGAGGTGGAGGGCCATACTCATACACTGGTGGAGGGAAAAAGTATCCACCCGGCGGCAAATAATACCCCGACGGTGGAGGGTAGTAGACTGGCCCTGAAGGTGGCGGCGGTGATGCAGCAGGGGGAGTTGGTAGCTGCGGTGAAGGTGGTGGCGGTGGGCAGTCGGTAGGGGTGGGTGGAGGAAGGCAAGAATAGGGACATTCATTTGGTGGTGGTGGAGAAGCATACAGAATGCCTTCATTAGAACTTTTTACTTCCGACTGAGCCTTTTCAAAAGAATAACTGAAAGTTAATGTTAGGATCATTAGTAGAGGAAAAAGGCAGAATTTTGAGGCCATGGTGTTTTCAGAAATGGAGTAATGGATGACAATTGGGTAGACATATATACAAAAAGGAGAAGGGATCCATTGGAGATGGTGGCCTCTGTAATGGAATATAAGGAGGGTACCTTTTTTGTCAGCGATATAGTTGGTTGGAATAAGTGACTTATTATTGGAAACTTTGAAAGCAACTTTGAGTAAATATTTGATTGAATCTCTTACTTTTGAAGGCATCTTACGTAAAAATGCAATCAACGGCTTCCCTTTTTGTCTTTCTGAGTTGAAGTTACATGCATTATCAATGTGAAAATTTACTGTATCATGTCACTTATAGGGTTATTATATGTTAATTGTATAATAAATTAACTGATAACCTTGTAAATATGATAACTAACTTCGCTATTACATGCTAACTACATTGATAGCGTCAAAAAACGTTTTACACTGTTAATGCATCCTTAAGTCACTTTTATAGCGGTTTTATTCCTGTTCTATTCATAGTACTAGTACTTATAGGTTGCACTCGCCAATGTAATAACGTATGAATTGATGCAAACGTAAATGTTGTTCTAGCTATTCCCTCAACCGTATTTTATTTATTCATTCCACTATTTAGACCCCAAAGTAAGAATTATCATGTTGATCTTGATGAAAACTCTTTTCCCCTATATGCTTTCGAATATATTCCAAAGTCATAAAAACAATTCTTTTCGTTTAAATAATACAAAACCATGAAAAATGATATGTAGCTCTAGATTTGAAATTAATATTCTTAACACCGTGAAATATAAAATACTTGTACATTCTATTCATAAATTTATATCAAGATGAAAAATATTCAAAGGAAAAAAAAGGCGTAGGGATAACAGATAAAGTTCATGGGCATCAATGCGAGCTTGGCTCCATGTGGCTGAAAAGTGCTTCGAATTTGTGTATTAGTCTTTCTTTGGAACCCAAGGCAACAATGATTGAATCTTTATAGACTTCTTTTTGAGAAGGGACTTTCCTAAAGTGTTAATGAGTCTTTATTCCGTGCAAATTAATGCTTGTTATAACGAAACAAAGAAGGAATTATTGACTCAATTAGTTGTCACTTGAAACCGCAAGACTCCCTTTATAATCAGATTGCCACATGTATGGGGTCCATCTCTTTAGTTTTATTATCAATCTTCATATATCCTTGAATTTCTCAAATTCATCAAGTTGGTATACATTATAATTATATACGCATGCACGTAAAAAATTCACGAGAATCGAATCTACCTTTATATGTACCTTTAGGTGATATGTCAATTTCCATGTACAAAAGTGGAAAATCACAACTCCCTTATCCTCACCTGTAATTCTAAACTGTTTGAGTTGATTAATCCTGGCTTATATATGTATCATTTGAGAGTGGGATGCTTAATTTGAATTGAGTAATAAGTTCGTATTATCAAGAATGTGTAGTAATTAGTAAATGAAGAAGTACTATTAGCTTGTACAGATTGGAAGAGCTTCTGGATTTACTTTTGGGTTTAAAATATAGTTTCCTGCTCAAAAGATAGTTTGCTCTTTTATCAAATTAAAATACATGTATTGTCTATTTCAGCCTAGCTATTCTGGTGAACTATGTTATGGGGGGGGGGGGGGGGGGAGGAGAAGAACAGAAAAGGCTTATATAACTATTTTATTGAACTGCAGTGACCGATTAACAAGTAGGACTAGTTTGGTATATAATGTGAAAGTAAAGTTGGCAATGTTGGAATAATTTGTGTAAAGAGCTTTGTAACTTGTACTTCATACAGCACTTGTGATACACAAACTGTACAATAATATTGGCTCCAACAGTAACATCACTCTTTAATTAAAGGTAACTTAAGTTGGTTTAGCGATTCAGGGATCGGAGAAATTTAAGAGAAAGGTGCTCCTAGCTAGATAATACTACTAATATTCTTGGCAGTTGTTTTTGTTCCCGTTAATAATGCTATTTCCAACTCAAAATAATACGGGTCAAGGTCGGCTAGACGATGGGGATAAGCTTTATCGTCGAGACGGAAATAGCCCGGATCATCAGCTAAGGCCCCTAAATGATCGCTTAGTGATAAAGGATGTAGAGACAACCAAGAGGTCTGTCAAGAAGCAGTCACCATTAAAAAAGTGTATAATAACTCACTAATCGTGCGCTCTCGCGCCGAAGTGGGATGTAAACCCAATTTTCTAACTTTGGCATAAATAATACATCAGGGAAGAAGCAATTAATTTTCAGATTTAACTATCCTTGCGGGTAAAAGGGTTTCACGTTTTACTATACGAGCAGTATTTTACGGCTTTTATCAAAGCTATTGCTCGAAATTTCTGCAAATTAAGAGATTCAATAAACTTAAACTTGCTCGATCTTTTTGTAGAAAAAAATACCTGCGACTTGCTAAAGGAGGTTGGGTGAATTTCTACTAGCCAATATCATGTGGAAGATTAGAACATATACGGTAGTACTAATTTGCAAAGAATAATGACAAAGAATTCTAAAATATATGTACTCATTTATTTTATATATTAATTTAGCTAAAAACGGAGAAATGAAATTAAAAGAGCAATCCACTCTTTTTAAAATTTCCAAAGGGAATGATTTTAAAAGTTCTAAATTAGAGCATGAAAGCCTTTAAGATACAAGAGCAACAGCTGTTTTAAAACCAGCCATACTTCTCCAAACAGTATTCTTTTTCCTAGATGTTCTTTATGTCTCAATTTAAATCATATTATCGGAGAAATATAAAAATATAAAAATATTATAAATATTCTTAAACAACTTTTGATCAGGTAATTTTTGGGAAAATCATATCTATTATATTTAATTGAATAAAATTTGATGTAATATATATTTTTTTTTATTAATTTTGTACAAACAAATAAAAACACATAAAATGTTGGAAGGAACAAGTAAAACGAAGAAATAATCACGAGTAGAAAAACTAATTTCCAGCTCCTCGATTTTTGCTACGATGATACTACTATTAGGACATGTGTCAACACCCTACAGTTGATTAACACGTGGCTTCTACAAGCACCTTCAGAAACCAACACGTCTCCAGTTCCATATTTAAAAACATTATCACCGCCACTGCCCATGCTTTGACCTTTGCAAAATTATCCTATTAAAATCCCCACTCCCTTCTTCCCTTAATTTCATAATTCATGCTTCTTTTAGCAAAATTTGCGAGTAAAATTACAAAAATCGCAGCCTTCTTCTTCTCCCTCTTTGTTCAAGCTGGTCCTCTGACTGTTTATTTGGGTTATACTACAACTACTTAAATTAGGAGAAAAATGGCGATTGGAGTTCCATTATGCGTGCAGTGTGGCAATGCTAGCAACCCCTGCAGGTTAGTAATTTTACTTTCGGGTTAAATTATTTGTACTTATGTTTAAAAAACTTAAATCTATATAATGTGTATAGTGTTGAAGGGGTTGGTCTCGTGTGATTTATGGTTCAAACTATAGTTTACGAGTTTGAACCGTGAAAACAATCATTAACCCTTGCATGCAAGGTAGGTGGTCTACATCGCGTTCCAAATTTTTTGGGTAAGTGGTCTACATCGCGTTCCAAAATCTTTCCTCGTATCCTCGCGTTACATGAGATGTCTCAGTAGGTGTCTTGTGCATCGGGCTGCCTTAGATGTGTATATACTAAAATTTACTGACTTTAAATTCTAAATTTACGTGCAGGTGCAAGGTGGTTGGTCCGACACTTGGTTTCTTGGCTTTCGCCGCGGCGGCAATAGTGGAATGGCCGGTTGGTGCACTCGTTTATTTATTCCGCCACTCAAAGGGCCGCCGTATCATGGGTCATCCTGCCACCGTGATTTATCCTTCAGTCACAAACTCCATTCCTATCTAACTTTTGTCTTCGTTTTCCACCTTTAATAATGATGTGAGAAATGTTGCTTGCATTTGACTTTGTTTTTTCCCCACCATAACCTGTATTTTCATGTTGTACGTTTGTCAGTTTTAATTAGTACCTAGTAAATAAATGATCATAATGTATGATTTGTTACTGAATCACGTACGGTAATGGTTGTCTGTCTTTTGTTCCTCCTATTCTCCAGGCCCTTGTGTCACTTATTTTTACTTTGTTGCAGCACAGTAAATAAATGCACTGGTAATATTAATGCACTATGATATATGGGCATAGGACTATAGGAGGCTTCATGTTTCTGGATTACGTGGCATACCATGGTCAATTAGTTTCCCTCTGACAAATAAGAAGTGAATAAATCCGTGTTATATCTTCTAATCTTGTCTGGATAAATGATTAAAATAGAGTTGGTGTTTTATTATGGTTGAGTTTTTATTGTATTTACATGAAATATAGTACGTGCGTTACTTTTTGCCACGGGCATGACAATAAAAAAATCAAACTAACAATAAATAAATAAATAGGCGGCGGCTGTTATTCTTAATTTTGTTGCGAGACTCATTTTTTGGCAAATTAAACGGAACTCAATTTAGTTTGGACTGAAGAACCGGATAATATAAAGTCGAATCGAATAAGGAAGGCAACAACCTAAATAAAATTCAATTTAAGTATTTTAGAGATTCTAAGTTCAGTTCTATATGTCATATCATGGCTGTTAAGTAAATAATTAAGATTACTGATGGGGAGTTAAATATTTAAAACTATACACAAAAAAGAAATTAGATTTCAACAATGAACACGCAATATAGAAGAAGGCGTGAAGTCGATAAGATATATATTTTCAGTTTTTCAAGTCCGAACTTTTACTTTGAACGCATTAAGAGAAATGTTTCTAGTGTTTGTCTTTGTTCAGAGACGACTCAAAGTCAGTACGTAGAACACTTTCTTCACGGCAACACTTTAATTTCATCCATTCCATTGCAAGGACTGAGGATCGAGGAGTACTAATGCCTTGTGATAGTCAATTTAATTACAGAAGGAAAATAGGAATTTCCCAATCGAGAGATTCTGTGTATGGTAGAAAATATATAGTAATTCTGGTCTTCATGCTTACTTAGTATAAAGCCATAACACTAGAGGAAGCAACCATTCATCTCTAACTTTGTTTTCTTTCCTTTGATCCCCTTTTCATTTTTCCCTCTTTATTTTCTGTCTTCTTTCTTTTTTTATTACTCTGCTAGAAATTATGGCTGTATTATGAATGAGGGTATTTCTATGTGGAGGTGGATTTCACAAAAGAGAAGAGAAAAAGAAAAAGAAGAATAGTGTGCGATTGGGTGGTAAAAGGCCAATGGAAAGGCAAGAGAGCAGCATAAGCAGTAAAGCTCTATTAATGGTAAAAATGATATCTTGGAGGAAAGTGAAACATGATGATGGAGATGATGATGATCAATTAGTAGATTGGGAAGACGAAAATGCACTGTGGAAGAGAACCATTATTAAAGGAGAAAAATGTCGCCCTTTGGAATTTTCTGGCAAAATTTCTTATGATGCTAATGGGAATCTTGTGTTGGACTGATTTATGAATTCTTTACTTCAACTTCCGCCTTTTTTTTTTCCTCTCTTTCTCTGCCTTTTTCCCTTCTAGGAGGTGATTGTGAATACTGGGCTAATTTACGCAAGGGTAATTAAATAAGATTAAAGTTAGATGTTGCCGAATAGATTATAACAGTGGATTATGAGTCTAGTACATGCAAATTTGTGGTTTGGAATTTCCTTCATTATAATTTGTGGTATTTGCAGCTATATCAACGAGGGGTGTTCGTCGGTGGTCGGTGTGAGTCGGTATTCGGTTTTTTAAAATAATATACCAATACACTCTAATTAAATTCGGTAGGATTCGGTTTTTCTCCTTTCGGTTTCGGAAAGTGCATAAAGTCACAGACGGTAATATTCCTAATTAAAGTACTCGAAAGTACAAAACTAAAAACATTTGTTGACAAAAGTTTTGTCCAAAACCAGTAAATATCAACCTAGAGAGAGAAAACAGTACATAAAAAAATAAATTTGATCACTTAGAGTCTATTAATGAACTTAGAGAATAAAGGAAAGTAAAATTTTAGATTTCTTATATTTATGTTATAGATAATAATATGGGTATTGTGTAATATATATTTCGGTACGGTATTGGTATTTCGGTGTTTTATTTTAAAATACCAAATATCATACCTAATAATTAAGTACCAATTTTTTTTTAAAACTTAAATCATATACCATACCGAATACCAAAATATCGAATACAAAATACCAAATAAAGTAATTCGGTATTTACCAAATTATGCACGGCTCTAATATCAACAATACATACCTCTAAAGTTTGATTATCATTTCTTTGGATGAAACTGAAAAGTTAATTGTTTTCCTCATAATACCATGGTATATTATTAGCTTATTAAATATATTCGGAAATAACTGAACTAGACAGGAGAAAATCTACTTGTTTCATCTGACGGGGATAGGCCAACAAGTTGGCCAATTTTCGCTCACTGAAGCAAACAATAGTTAGTGCATCACTACCTTTGTGCCCACCAAAATCTTATCTTCTAATTATTCTCTTCATGATTTCCTTTCCCAGCTTCTGTTTTATTTTAGACAAAACGAACAAATATATCTACACTAAGCTAAATATTACTGTGTACTAGTAATATGTTTGTCGTAATTTAGCTAAACACTAAGCTTTAAAAAAATAAGAGCCATTTGGACACAAGACAGATATAAAGTATCACAAGTGTCCTCGTACCAAAATAATTTGTTCTTTGTACTCAATTGACAAACCACGTCAATTGCAAAATGGGAAGGTAGAGCTATTTTAATGTCTTAAATATGAAAAATGTTAGTAAATCTTTTCTGTACAATAAAAAAGAAAATGATGTCAGACCAATTGGGACAGAGAGAACAAACCGAAATAGAAGTGGTACGGATAAGGGCTACATCCACTATATTAAGAGCATAGCCGTCATCCTTGACGAATGGTCTAAAATCTCAATCCTCAGCTTTCAACCAAACCATCAAATTAAGACAACCTTATTTTCCTAATTTACATTTATAATCCTTTTGTCAACACAGAAAAGATGATTAAAACAAAATTGAACAAGAAAATCAATACATATAACAACACTACCACCAAATAAACAGATCGTTCCATTTAAAAAAAAAATGTAAAACTATATGCAATTCTTGAAACCAAATGAAAAAAGTTAAAGAGCTGCAAACCAAGCAAAAAAACTAACTGCTATAACTGGAATTTGGCATACAAAGATCCATAATTTTCTCAGCCACTTCTGTTTCATCTTTGCTTTCTTCTACCATCTTCTGAACTAAACTCCTCGGCAGCTTCATCTTCAACTGAATCGGTCCATTATTCGGCTTCGAAATCGACAAATCAGAAGCCGATCTTCGTGTTAACATGAGACACTCGAGCCGATCCTTTGCACTCATATGAACAGCAGATTTCACTCTTCTTGGAACTCTACTAATATCTTCTTTAGGAAACAAAGGCAATTCAACGAGGAAATATATTTTGTTTGGCTTCAGTTCTTGTTCTGGTTTCAGTGGCTTAGCTCTGACACCAAACTTCTTCACTGCTTCTGATTCCAATAAAACATGACCTGGGTAGTCTTTTACTACGTCCAAGGTTGTTACTGGTGTTTTCAGTTTCAAGATTTCGCCATTAATCTTCATCACCTTTGTCTTCTTCTTATTTCCTCCTATGTTGTTCCCCATTCTAACTAGCTCTGCTTTTTTTTTTTTCTCTAGAGAATCTTGCTTTTTTGGTATTATGGTTCTCCACTTATATTTTGGTATATAATTATATGGACAAGTAACTAACCTTTTGTTAGTGCGTATGCGTGTGAGCGTGAATTTGTGGAAATGTACTAGAAAAGGTTCCTTTGGTGGATGTTGCATATAATTAAAAAGTTTAACTAAATCCAATATTTTCAACAAAAAAAAATAGATATATAAGCAAAAAATCATTAAAATTTTAAAATATTAACACTGAATCTTTAATTTCAAACGCGTTGTCAATTGGACCGATAAAATTTTTAAAGATTAAACCCATCAAATTTGAGTTTGAATTTGATTCTAATTATGATAGTAATTTATTTAAAGGTTCCACTAAAACCATAATACTACTTTTGAATAATACTAAAGGTGCTTTCACAGGTAATGTACTACTATGTGTGTGTGTGATGATTGTACCTTATTATGGCAAGAGATATTTTTTTTGAGGAAGAAGTGGGAAATGGGTAACTCAATTCCATTACGACAAATTTTTATCGCGAGAAATTCAAAAATAGCTAGATTTACCACTGGTCGTTGAAAAATAGCCAAGTTTTATAAGTCATCGAAATTTAGCCACTTTAAATCTGAGCGAAAACACTGTTCAAAATCCGGAAAAATACGCCCGCAAATTTTACGGGAGTTCCAGCATAAGTATGCTTGAACTCCCGTAAATTTTACGGGAGTTCCAGCAAGTATAATTGTCCAGTATAATATACTGGAGTTTGGAGCACTGGTGCTCCAGTCTCCCGCAAATTTTACAGGAGTTAGCAAAGTATACCGGTCCAGCATAATATGCTGGAGTTCGTACACAAATGCACCAGAACTCCCGTATATTATACTGGACCGGTCCCTGTTGCAGCAAAATAGTGGCTATTTTTCATTGACTTGATAAACGCTGGCTATTTTTCATTGACCAATGTGAAAACTGGATATACCATGATATTTTAACATTTTTATCTGGAACTGAATGGGAAGCAAGAAACGAAATGAAAAGAGGTTAAGCCTACTTTTTGTAATATATTCACATTGGAGGAGCAGTGTGGAGTTGGGTTTTCTTTGGTTTTGTGATAATCAAGGCTGGTGGGTCTATGCTTCATTGGCGTGGTCTCATTATTGGATAACGACGTATAGGTATGGACTGTGGGAGGATTAAATATATAGTTTAACTTTTGTATACTTACATTATATCTTTTTACACCATTAATTCAAGTTACTTGTAGGAAAAGGTTTATAACCTGAAATATATATTAGAAATGATTTATTATAACATATATTAAATTATACGAATAATATTTTTAAAAAATTGTACGGTTAGTGGGTATAATTAGACCTTTAAATTGGATATAAACAGCCTTACCGTTTAAGATTAATTGTCACAAAGTCCTAACCAATTTGCTATGAAGATGTGGACAACAGTGTTTTTGAGTGATTCCAAATTCAAAGTCGTAATCCTCTTTGGTGTGTAAATTAAGGAAATTAAATGCTTGCTTTTGTCACACAAAAATTTAAAAATTTAGACGGTGTGCTTTCATAGAAAAGGTCGAAGGAGGATAAGATCTTTCAGTTGGACTTGCTATTTAAATTGAAGTATCACTTGATGTTAGTTATAAGGTGAGGCCAAAAGAGAAAAGGCAAACAAACCTCCCACAATTACTGCATTCTGTTGGAATAGTTTCCAACTGCTTTTTAATTTGGCCTTGGATTATAATGAAGCACAAAACAAAGTGTTGCCCTACCTCCTCTCTTAGAAATATCCCCACGCACAAAAACATTTTTCTTTTTAAAATAAAGTTAAAATATGCTAATCAAAGTTATAGCTCAAAAGAAAGGGTAGGGTAGGGTAGCTCGGTGCACAAGGCATTCCGCATTCACGCAGACCGGAGAATGACTGCACTCCATAGAATGTGATATAGACAGCCTACTCTAATACAAGTATTAGCTAGACAGTTCGGCGAAGCTAATAGAACAAATATGAATCAAATTCATTTTCAATAGTTATGGGGTAAATTAATACTTTGTCTTAGAACTATGGCTACGATAAAGTAAAAGCTCCCTAAAGAAGGCAGTGCTCGTGTTCAACTCCATTTTATTAATCTTAAAAAAGAGCTAATATAATCTTAGTCTACAGATATGTGCTGACGTTTGTGGTGACGCTTGGAAATTCTTATGTATTGTATTCAAGATCAGAATGAGTTTTCCCGAAAAATGTGACACTCGTTGAATACATTGAAGTCCTTTTCACGGAAGCCTTGCAAATTCTCCTTTCTATTTAAATATTTTATAATATAAATGATATTATTAACAAATACCGCATTTAGAACGAAAATCAAAATACAAATATCTTGTTAACTATGATAACTGCGAAAGAGCTCTGTCATATCGCACACTTTGCATATACATTTTATTAATGCTTGCACTGAGGTTGTAAATGATATTCATGAAAGAAAAAAATTAGCTTAATTATAACTAAACAATTTTTATAAGAGAGCAAACAAATAAATTTTGAATTAACCGAATTAAAATTTGAGTTTAGTCCAAATTAACCCATTCATTTTTTCATCAAACCGTTCATAGTGTAGATTTTGAGCGAGTTACGATCTAATTCATTTATTAGTTCAACCCGCACAGATTTACCTCATCACGTCAACCGCACTTACTCATCAAAAGCAGAGCCCTTGGTCTTCTGTGCTCCTTTGGTTGAGGTAATTCGTTCGGCAACAATAATTAAGTCGCTGGTTTCTATTTTTCACCATCAGAGAATATGCTATTCTCACGTTTCATCAATTTGCAACGACTAAAAAACGAAAAAAATATGAATTTATGATCCTCTCAGCAATTGTAACGTAGAAGAGTCAACCAACCACATCATTGAGAAAATCCTAATCTTTCATGTTTATCACCCAACTTTGTTAATCAGTACTTGATAAACTATCACACTTGATATATTGACATTTCTTTATTAAATCTGGTAGTACTTAAAAAAAGATTTGGGTACAAATACAACAACTTGTTTGTGATTTATTTCTGTTTTCAGACCCAGCAAATCAAGATTGCCACAAGTAATTTTGTCCCTTGACATCATTGACCATCCAGCCTGAGCCTGGTAGCTTTCCTGCTACAAGTGATCACCTGACACTCTGACAGTCCAAATGTGTTATACGTTCAAAACATGCATGTAGCACTAATTAACTAAAGCAGCACCCAAGCATGAGGACATCGGAGAGGAGAAAAGGCTCGAACCACTGCAGGTATATGCTAAATTGCTTTCCAGTGACTACCGACATTCCAAAAAGAACATACTTCACAATATCCGAAAGTTAAAGTATAATCAATAATGTATATGGTTGCGACTGTTTGTCAAGGAAGGGCATGGAGCTTGATGATGACGTCTTCTTCCTTATGCCAAGTTTCTTATGTCTTGACAGTCTTTCTTTCTTTTTTAAACTCCATGCTATGGGACGGAGAGATACTTACCTTTCTCAAAACAAAAAGGGCGGGGGATGGAACTCTTCAGGTGCTCTGTCCTTAGCATCAATCCAAGGTCAAACAAACAAAAGTCATATTTATGTAACCAATACATTTGGTTCACTCTCTCCTTCACCTCCCAATGTACCTTACTTAGAGATAAGCTCACCAGATAGCAATAATTCAAACAGTGTCCATAACATTTGTGGAACCTTGAAGGAGATAAAGAATGGCGGTCTGAAGGTCAACTTGAAACTTCACCTGCAAAGGCTTAAGCTGCAATAAAGTCAGTTAAAGATTGTGTTGCAACTTGCAAGCCCACATAGCAGTTATTACAACCACAGAGCAAAACTAGAGTTTGCTGTCTGCCCCTTTGTTAGCAGCTGAACAGGCTTTAACTTAAGCATTGACTAAAGGAAATCCAGAGGTCTCTTAAAATACTCAAGGAGCCTTTGACAAAGTGGATACCCTAAGCGCAAACTGCGCTATGACAAATATGGATAACTGCTTTTGAAGTGGGACCGAATCTGGTGCAGCATGTCCAGGAGGATCAGTCAAAATTTCTGAGAGTAATCTTACTGGCTTTTCACTTTTGAATTTTTAAGCAGTCTCTGGATTATATGTATCTTGGCAGAAAACAGCTTGTTTGCAGTGGGAACTCTAAAAAATATTCAACAGAATGAATCCTAGGATGTAAGGCAGGAACATCACCAACATCATTAGCTAGGACTGCCATTTAGGTGCAAAACATAAAAACACAACTATACAGGACATAAAGTGGTGGAAATTTTTGAGAAAATGCAGTATCTATCAGTTGGAGGAAGGCTGACCTCAATCACTCTCTCTCATAATTAGTTGAAATTCCAGCAAAGGTGGACAATAGGTTAGATAGAATTAAGAGGAACTTTTGGGAAATGGACAGCAGCAGGGACTCCAAACAAGCTGTCTCAGAAAGTTGCCATGGATTCCACTACCAAATTTAAGTTGTGGGAAAACAGCCAAACACAAACAGGATCAACGGGAATGGTTCCCAATAATCACATCAAATAGAATGACTCTACGGAAACAGGACTAGAAAAGGGTGAGATGCATTCTCCAAAAACATAGCTTTTAAAGTTGGAGCTGGCAAGAGAATTAGATTTTTGGTCTGATATTTGGACAGGAACTTTACCACCCACGAAGATACTTCCAGACTTATAGAGATATACAAAGAATCCTGAAACTAGGATAGCTAAGAATTGTGCACCAACCAGTTATTATCAACTTAAAAGAAAGCCTCTTTGGTCATAAATTCATCATGAACTATTGCATAACCATTACCAAGAGACTGACCTTGAGTTCACCACCCATCAATAGCGCAGAGTTTATAGGTCTTCTGAAAAAGCAATAAAAGCATCAAGACTCTCTTAACTTCTCCTAAAACCCTTAACAGCAATTCCTATTAATAACTATAAGTAATAAAAACCTTATTTTTCATTGGAATCTTGCATTTAACTATGAGAAAACCACTTCCTGAACCTTGCAGAGCTCGAGATATCAACTCACCGTCACATGTGCTGCACTACTCTGTAGTCCTATAGAAAACAATCTCCAAAGGACTTACCCCATGCACATACCCACCTT